TCCAAAAACGCTCTCAGCATTGAAAATAAAAAATAAAAATTAGCCTCTTTCTCTCCGCCTCCGTCCTCTCATTCTTTGATCTATCTCACAATCTCATCGATATCGATCGCTCGATCAAAACCCATCAGTTTCAATTGCTCAATTTTGGTGGGTCTCGATCTTTTCAACCCATGAAACTAACCTCTGTTCTGATCTCTAATCAAAACCCATTTTTTATTCCAATTTTGTATTGTGGGTGCTCTTGCATGCGTATATAATCGTCTCTGATTGATGCGTTTTTATGATTAATTCAAGTTTTCGCATCTGGGTATTTGATTTTGATCGGTTTAGTCAATTTCAATTTTAATTTTTCGATCTGGGTTGTTTTATTTCTGATTGAATTAACTGTTTTGATGCAGGAATTTGGATTCTTAACTCTCTGATTTCAAAATCAATCTAAGGTTTGGCTAATACCCGTTTTACGATTTTTTTTAATTGGTTTTGTGTGTTAACACAAATCCATCAATGTCTTGATTGGTTTCTACTCATTGTTAGATTCTTTGTGTAAATGGCTACAATGGTTGCTAGAGGAAGTAGTCCATTAGCTTCCTCAGTCTCGGTTCAGGAAAAGGGAAGTAGAAACAAGAGAAAATTTCGCGCTGATCCTCCGATCAATGACCCAAATTTTCTCTCATCTTTACAATCTGATAACCCTAACTATGAGCTGTTCCCAATGGGCAAAACCTCTGAAACAGGAACTTTTGATCACCAACAGGGTTATTGTGATTGTTGTAGAAACCGTGCTCTCACATTCGAAGAGATTGAAGAGCAGTACCAAGAAGCTGAATGGATTGATGGAGCTGAGGCTCAGCTCGAGGAAACGGTGTTAAGTAACCTAGACATGATATTTAAGACTGCGATTAAAATAATTATGACTTATGGTTACACTGAGGACATTGCAACGAATGCTGTGTTGCGTGCCGGTCTTTGTTATGGTTGTAAAGATACGGTGTCAAATGTCGTTGACAATGCAATGGCGTATTTGAGGAGCTCACCGGATGTTGATTCTTCTTCGAGGGAGAATCCTTCGGAGGAGTTGAAGATGATGGAGAGGAATGTGTTGAATGAAATGGTTCATGTTGTTAGGGATTTCCGGCCTTATTATAGTAGGGGAGATGCTTTGTGGAGGTTGCTTTGCAATGATATGAATGTTACTCTTGCATGTACTATGGATAGCAATCCTTTGCCTAGTATAGGGAGTGAACAAACTTCAGCTAGTTCTATTGCCCCTCATGTGCAACAAGAGTCTAATGAATTGAATGCTCCAAGTCCTAATAAACCGAGTCTTGTGTTTCCGTATCCTCAAAACTCGTCAGAAGCCGAGATGCCACCTGTAGTAGGGATCCCGAGCTTACCTTGCGGGAGATTCTCAGCATCGATCAATGTTCAAGGTCAGGTTTCTGCTCTTGCTTCGGCTAAAGAAAATGCAATTGCTTCATTGGATTGTGTAATAGAGGAGACATCAGCTTTATATTTATCTCAACCTTCTGGTTCCGAAGGAAAGTCGACTAGTGGTAGGAAAAGCCATTTGGGTAGTTCGAAGAGGGATTCAATACTTCGTCAGAAAGCACTTCATTTTGAGAAGAACTATCGCATGTTTGGGTCTAAATCAGCTATAAGAGCAGGAAAAAACCACAATGGCTTGGGTGGTTTGCTTTTGGATAAGAAAAACAAGGCAATCTCTGATTCCAATGCCAAGAAGAACACAGTAATGAAGCTTAACAAAGCGGTTGGGAGTGATTCACCTAAAGCTGATCCAACTCCTCTTAATCTCTCATTTAAGGAGGCGACTCCGAAAACTCCCGTACCGGCTGCAAGCACTGAACTCTCTTTGTCTCTGCCTTCTATGAGTAGCAGCAGTGGCAGTAGTGTAAAAAGCAGTGTTTTTGAAACTGGCTTTTCTTATGCAAATTGGGATCCTGAGATGGATGACATGCTACAAAAGTTAGATCGTCGTGAAAGAGAATTGCAAGATCAGCTGCAAGAATGGTCGGATTGGGCTCATCAGAAGGTGATGCAGGCTACTCGCCGATTGAGCAAAGACAAACCTGAGTTACAAAGTCTAAGACAGGAGAAAGAGGAAGTTGCTCGTCTCAAGAAAGAGAAGCAAACTTTAGAGGAGAACACTAGAAAGAAGCTTGCAGAGATGGAGATTGCATTGTCTAAGGCTAGTGCTCAGGTGGAAAAGGCTAATGCCGATGCTAGGAGACTTGAACGGGAGAATTCTGAGCTGAGGAAGGAGATGGAGGCTGCGAAGGTTCGGGCTGCTGAGTCAGCAGCCAGTTGTCGAGAAGTTTTGGAAAGGGAGGCGACGAACCTTAAAAAGATCCAATCTTGGGAGAAGCAGAAAGGGCAACTTCATGAGGAGCTTGCGATTGAGAAGAAGAAGTTCTCTCAACTTCGGCAGCAGCTTGGACAAGCTAAGGAGCAGTATGATCAAGTCGAGGTAATTGTTTATTAAATATTATATTCATGTGAACACATAATATGCATTTGCTTTAAACCTTGCTTAGCAATTCTATTCTTAGAAATGTTTGCTTGCTTTAATTTTGTCCATATTTTGTCACCTCTTGAGTTAGAATCTTGACTAGGAAAGGAGATTACACCTGGAATCTAGCAAAAATATATGATTATATTAGCATTTTGAGCTACATTGTCGTTTCCTTCTTCTTCTTCTTCTTCTTCTTCTTCTTTTATATTTTTTATTTTATTGGTTGTTTTAAATGCTTTTATTCATTCTCTGTGTTCATCTTGGCTAGTCAGACATGTAAGACAATTGAAAAGTAAAGCGATAACTTACTCTAAAAGCATGATGCATGAACCAAATATATAAGTTACATCGATAACATAATCCTTCCTTTTTTTGATTCCTTTATATGCCTCTCTTGAACACTAAGAGCTAGCTTTTTCGTTTTGGTTGTGTTTCCTTTTTTTTATTCCTTTATATGCCTCTCTTGAACACTAAGAGCTAGCTTTTTCGTTTTGGTTGTGAAAAAATGTGACTTGTTTGTTGTGTCCTTTGCTAAATGATTTTTTTTGTCTCATTTGCCAATTATTCTGATTATACTTCCATTACCCACCTTCTGAAAAATCAGGTATCAAATAACAGACCCCTTAGGGTCCTGTTAGGAAACAATTTAAAGCGGGGATTAAGAACACGCATTTATGTTTCCAAAGAAATTTTGGACAACCATGAAATTCACTATTCAGCTTCACATCAATGTTACAGAAGGCGCTAGTCAGACTAGGCGTTTAAGCCAGCGCCTAGACGCCTAAGCGTGTGCCTAAACGTTTGGCTATTTTTTAAATTATTTAATTATAACAATTGATAAAATATATATTACATTCATATTAATTTACAAAAAATATAGATAGCAATCTTAGATCCACAATAAATCATGCATACTTAAATACTAAATAGCTAAAATAATAACTAACAATGTTATATAAAGCGCTAGAAGGCCTAGGCATTGGACCCGTCACTTGGATCCAAGGAGGTTTACTTTTTTATTTTCTAATTATAAAAATTGATAGTAAATGTTAATGCTATAGAAAGCTTAAGTGTCGGACTGGTGTCTAGATGGATTTCTTTCTTCATTTAAATGGTGGTCGAGGATGTTTTGCTGAAGGTTGGAGGACGTGAAGGCTACAATACAGAAAATCACAATCAAGACCTAAATGGTGCAGTCCACATAAGTAGACAATACTCCCCTAAACACTCCCAAAACCTAGGGGCAACTTAGGTACCACGCGTTAGGTGCTAGTTAGACGGCCTAGGTACTGCCTAGGCCTAGGCGTTCGCCTTGACGGACTAGACAAAGACTTTTTAAAACAGTGCTTCACATGGAAATGAACTTTTATATATGTAATAGTATTTTCTTCAACTCTTCACATAGAGATGAACTTTTAGATATGTAATAGTATTTCCCTGAACTTGTTTCAAATTATTTGAATTGATGACTCATGATTTTCAAGATCCATTGGTTCCGGACAAGTGTTCACAAGGTAATAACTTTTATCCCTTGTTTTTGTGTACCATTTTTTCAGTAAGTGACCTTGAGTGTTAATCTTTGATTTTTTCCCCTCGGGAGATGGATTAAATAAAGATGTCCTCAAGAGTGCACATGTAATTTGTGAAATTATTCCTTTTTCTTTTCTTTGAAACAAGGACATAAAATTTTTTGTAAAGTGGATTTTATCTTTGTCTTAGAGTCATTAAATTCCTATTATCATGTTTTTGGAATCAAAACGTGTTTTTAAGATAATGTCCTCTTGCAACCAAACATTTTTTAATTTGTTTCCCCACTACAGAAACATCATTGTTCTTCATTAGTGTTTGTCAGGTATGTTTCACAGGAAATATAAACTTGCCATATGTGGTTCATGTTTCGGATTTTGACTCTCTTAACTCCAGTAAAGAAATGCACAGAGAATATACTAAAAATATGCTTACCTCGTGTTAATCAGATTATCTTTTTTTTCTTTTCCTTCCTTTTACTGGTCATTCTGCCTCGGGCAAAAAAATTGACAGGCTAGGTGGAAGCATGAAGAAAAAGCAAAGGAAGAAGCACTTATTCTCCGCAACAATCGAAGAAAAGAACGTGAACAGATCGAGGTCTCAGGACGAGCAAAGGAAAACGAGATGCGAATAAGAGCAGAAACCGACTTACAAAGGCACAAAGAAAATATCAAGAAGCTCGAGCAGCAGATCTCGCAACTGAGGCAGAGGGTCGACTCCTCAAAGATCGCTGCTCTCAAATGGGGCCCAGATGGAAGCTACGCATCTCGCCTCTCGGACCCACGAAAGGAAAGCAAAGGCGGTAGTTTTCCCAAATTCTCGGAGTTTGAAGATTCCGAAGAAGTGCAAAGAGATCGAGAGTGTGTTATGTGCTTGACCGATGAGATGTCGGTGGTTTTCCTCCCTTGTGCGCATCAAGTCGTTTGCAAGAAATGCAACGAGTTGCATGAGAAGCAAGGGATGAAGGATTGCCCTTCATGCAGGACTCTCATTGAGAAGCGAATTTGTGTTCGCTCTGCATAAATTTAGGTTTTTTATATATAGTTTTGGACTCAATTTGAGTTACAGTATTTTCAGAATAATGTTTTCCTGGCGTTTGGAAGTGAATAATGCCAACTCTAAACATTTTCTGTCTGGGTTTAAATAGTTGAAGTTTACAATGGACTTGGGAGGGGTTATAAGTGTATACATACAGTTTGGCTTCTGTGTTGTGATGACATGAGGACTTAAATGAGTTCTATAGTTGATGGTGTTTAACTGTTTGGTTACTTTTTTCTGTTCTATGTCCATTTTGGATTAATTGCACATAGACCCCCTGTAGTATTGTTGTTTGGCACTTACTACCCCTGTAGTTTCATTGTTGCAGATAGACCCCAGGGGCTAATATTTGTCTGACTCCTTCACCCTTGGTTAAATTTAGGCAGACGTTGGCGCCGGGTGAAATTAGTGAAATTTTAGTAGATATTGTCCCCAGGTGAAATTAATAAAATTTTAGTAGATATTGTCCCCAGGTGAAATTAATAAAATTTTGGCAGATATTACCCCTGGGTGAAATTCGTGAGTGTAACTGAGGGGTAAAAGAGTAGAAAAGGATTAACCTGTGGGGAGTCTATTGCCAGAAATCAAAGTACATGGATAGTAAGTTCAAAATGTCGATAGTGACACGGGGTCCTATCTGCAGTTAACACTTTCCATTTCCTTGGTGAGTATCGGTTGAATGAGTTTTCAGCATAGCCATTAACTGTTACAAACAAGGAAGGAAGTAAGAGTTGTTTGGTTCCTGTTTTGTGTTTAATTGTCATTTGAATGATTTTTATCGGCTAAATGAGTTCTCACTGCATCCATACAGGTAAACCAGAGGAACAGGGAATGGGGTAATTTTCGAATTTGTGTTTACTCTGCAGAGTTTTAGCTTTCTCTATAGTCGTAGGCTCACTTGAGTTTACAGTATTTCAGAATAATGTTCTCCTGGTATTTGTTACTGAAAAAAGCCAGCTCTGAAACATTTAGTTCTCTTGGCATCTATGGTATCTGTTCATCATAATTTATAAAAAAATGGTCTATGTGACGAGGAATTGGATTAGTTTACATATGTCGAAGTCAACGGTGTTTGATTGTTCGGTTCCTTTTCTGCGTTTTATTTCCAGTTTAATGATCTTTTATCGGTTAAATAAGTTTTCAGTCATGAACTGTAAGGAAATAGGGAATGAAGATAGAGCTGATTTGTGTTTTGCTCCTGTACCGTTTTAAACTTTCTAAGTAGTTCCGAGGTTCATTTGAGTAACAGTAGTTCAGAATGCTGTAGAGTTTTTACGTTCAATTTCCATTTTTTATGATGATTATTCGTTAACTGGGTTTTCGCTTTTTTTTTTTTTTTTTTTTTTTTTTTTTTTCGCTTTTTTTTTTTTTTTTTTTTTGTATTCTGTAGTTTCTTGAACTTGCAGTAAGCAGTTTCAGGTACTTATGATGCGTGCGTGAAATATTTTAATGAGTTTCAGAATGTATATATTTCCTCAAGAGTGTTGCTATGATACTGTTGTTGAAGAGGGTGAAGCATACAGACTGCATCAATCTATGTTGGATTAAATATTAATGCACTAATATTGTACCTTTGTTTTAAATTTTGCTTTTTTTCTTTTTTTTAACTTATACTTTATTTTATTTTTCTTTCTTTGGTAGAGTTCTCTTTCTGATATTTGAAACTTAAAATAAATCTTGCTACGAAGTTCTTGGCATACGATTATTGACATACAATTATTTGGAAAGAACTAGCTAGTTGAATGATGTTTCGAAGCACAGCTACCGCCTAACAATATTTGCAATTGCTGTCGAAAAAAAAATTATTTTCAATACTTGTAAAAAAGTATAAAGCAAATAAAGAAGCGTGTTACTTTCGCTATTTCTTGCTTCATAATTTTAAAATTTATTTTTTTAGCCTGTTTCTTACTTATAATGCTTTTTGTCAACAAATGTGTTCTAAAATACCCTTCTTAGAAAATAAGAAAATATCTCGGGAAAGCCAGCATGATAATCCTGTGAACGCGGCTTTGAGGTGGGCCACACCACCACTTGATTGACGCGGAAACGAGATTTGTTTCCGCTATTTGACCGGACGAAGCTATAAATAGCTTCCTAGGGTTTCGTGTGATGTGGGCGCAAGGGTTTGTTTCTGTTGTGAATTTTTATCCCTCGACAGGTCAGTCCTAGAACTGATGCGAGGAAGAGCCGATATCTCACTTGGTTGAGATATCCGCTTCAGATTCTTGTATCCTCGGTGAGACGGAAATTCTTATTGCGATCTGACTCTCTTGTTGTGCTGCCGAAGTGCTGCCGAAATTTTCGCTGCGCGCAACAAGTGGTATCAGATGCCAGGTTTCAGATCTAGGGTTTTTTTGTGGAGGAAGATTCTTGTGTGAAGCTTAGTTCTTGGAGTTCTCGGCTTCGGTGGAGATAGCATTAGGAGTTGCCGTTGGAGATTTCGCTTTCCTCGTGTGGTTAGGAAATCTATTTGGAATCCGATCTAGGGTTCAGTTGGGTGGTTCCTAATTCTATCAAATTTGTTCTTTCTCTACAATTTGGAGTTAGTTCGCAATGGGAGAAGAAGGTGAAAGCAGCAAATCAATGGCGAGTACAATACAAGTTGGTTTTCAAAACACCAAAATTAGTGTGGTGAAATATGACGGAAAAATCAACTTTGGTTTGTGGATGAGCGACGTACAGGATGCGTTAAATGCTCAGAATTTGGAAGAGACCATCATGGTCCACGAGAGGCCACCTAAATATGAAGAGGCGGTATGGGAGAAAATGAATAGGAACGCTTGTGGGGTGATCAGGTCCTGTTTGGAACAGGAGCTGAAATATGATGTGATTGGGGTGACGTCTGCAATGAAGATGTGAGAAATTCTCAACAAATGAGGAGTATGATACCTTCGTGCTCACTTTGTTGAACGGGAGATCTTCTATCAGCTATAGTGAAGTGACTAACGCTTTGACGAACTACGATTTGAGGAGGAAGGATAAGGAGACTTCCCGCGCTAGTACTTCAGGAGAGGCCTTGTCGACAAGAGGTAGAAGCCCATATCCGAAAGGTGGTAACAGAGGGAGGTCAAAGTCTAGAGGCCGCCACCAATTAACAAAGAACCAATGTGCATTCTGCAAGGAGCAGGGACATTGGAAGAGAGACTGCCCGAAGCTCAAGGAGAAGGAGAATGGCAAGAAAAAGGGCCCGAAGGCCAATGAGGTGAATATTGCGAAAGGCGATGATTCCGATGATTCGTGCTTTTCTCTACTGATTACTCCGGAGGTGAACCATGTGGATGCATCAGATTGGATGCTTGATTCCGGCGCTACCTTTCATGTGACCCCTAGGCGAGACTGGTTTGCATCTTTTGAGAAAGTCGACGGGGGCGTTGTTGTCATGGGAAATGATCAATCCTGTGGCGTTTGTGGGATAGGTACCGTACGGATTAGGATGCACGATGGAGTAGTCCGTGAGTTGAAGGAGGTGAGATTTGTTCCTCAACTGAAGAAAAATCTTATCTCAGTTGGAGCTTTGGAGGCGAAGGGATTCAAGGTGACTTTCGAAAACGCTGTAGCGAAGGTTACTAAGGGATCATTGGTGGTGATGAGGGGAGTCCGCAATCGGAATTTGTATTATCTGAAGGGAAGCACCGAGATTGGCCAGGTTGCTTCGGCTATTTCAGAAGCGGACATGAGCAGACTTTGGCACTATAGGTTGGGGCACACAGGTAAAAAGTCACTGCAGGCATTGTGTAAGCAGGAGCTATTGAAGGGAGCCAAGAGTGGGAAGATTGACTTCTGTGAGCACTGTGTTCTTGGCAAGAAGACGAAGGTGAAGTTCGGGACTGCCATTCATCAGACGAGGGGCATCCTGGATTACGTGCACACAGACGTTTGGGGTTCCACCAAGACTGCATCACTGGGTGGTCGACATTGGTTCGTCACTTTTGTAGATGACTATTCTAGGCGTTGTTGGGTGTACACCATGACGAAGAAGAGTGAAGTCCTAGATTTGTTTGTAGAGTGGAAGAAGAGATTGGAACTGCAGACGGGGAGAAAGATCAAGACGTTGCGATCCGACAACGGTGGTGAGTATACTTCAAACCCCTTTTTGCATCTATGTCGAGACGAGGGCATAGAGAGACACTTCACAGTTAGTCATATACCGCAGCAAAATGGGGGTGGCAGAGAGGTTAAATCGATCTTTACTGAAGAAGATCCGATGCTTATTGTCGCAGAGTGGTTTGGAAAAGATCTTTTGGGCTGAGGCACTTACATATGCGAGCCACCTCATTAATAGGCTGCCTTCATCTGCGATTGAGGGGAAAACCCTTATGGAGATGTGGTCGGGAAAGCCAGCACATGACTATGACCAGCTCAAGGTATTTGGGTGCCCTGCATGTTATCATGTTAGAACTGATAAATTAGAACCTCGAGCTAGGAAGGCCATATTTGTAGGATTCAAGCGTGGTGTCAAGGGATACAAGCTTTGGGATCCAGTTGATAAGAAGATTGTGCTGAGTAGGGACGTCACGTTTGATGAAGCTTCTATCTTGAATCTTCCAATCTCTCATCAGGTGGAGAGCGACCCGACGGAAGAGATATCACAGATGGTGGAGATCGATGCAGCTCCACATTGTCCAGATGGTACAGTATCCATTAGAGTGTCGACTGAGGTCACTACTAGAAACAGGACTTTTAGCGACGGACAAATCCGTCGCTAAAAGTCAAAAATCCGTCGCTAAAACTTTTAGCGACGGAAAAAAATAAATTCCGTCGCCAAAATACCGTCAGTATATTGAGGGTAGCTAAAACAACTTTTAGCGACGGATAATCCGTCGCTAAAAATCAGCGACGGATAATTAGCAACAGAAAATCCGTCGTTCTATTTTTTTTCTTTTTTTTAAAAAGGGAAAAAAAATTTCCGTCGCTAAAAGTGACATTAGCGACGGAAAATCCGTCGCCAATGTAACTTTTAGAGACAGAAAATCCGTCGCTAAAAAACAAAAACTTTAGCGACGGATATTCTGCCGCTATTATCATGTCCCGTGTATGTTTTCTGGCGCTAAAAGGGTCTATAGCGACGGCTAATCCGTGGCTAAATATTTCCAATATTTTTTTAAAAATTATTTTGAAAATTAAAAAACCTATACAATAATATAATGAATTTAAAACCCTATTCAATCAACAATATAATATTCATTCCCACACATATATAACACATATACTTTAATAAAAAATATCCCAACATAATTAAAATTATTTATACAACACACACCATGATAAATATTGTTTATACAGCACACACTCATTGTTTTCAAACCACCACCACCCAATCCCTACACCTCCCCCTCCCCCACCATGACCAAACCTAACACCAACCAATCAAATAACGCCCACCACAACACAACACAACACAACACCACAACATGGACTATCTTTCAATTCTCACCACATGGCCAAACTTAGGACAATTTGTGGCAATATGAATCATTGATCCTAATTGCTTTATTCACTAAAGAGCGGCATCCATCAATTATTACGATGTTTAATGATATCATTAATACAGTATTTAGTCCTTATCATTCCAAACAAATAAATTGTACCTTGTAGAACTAAACTTATACAAGATAGTAGTTAGTTAGCAAATAATGATGCGTCAGAACCTTGAAGGTTATCAAATTAATAGGTCATATTACTTTCTTGTAGTGTGTGATTAGTTGCATCTCTTAATACAATACACAAGTGTGACATTGACATCTCTTTAAAGATATGTTCATGCAAGCATCTTGGGGGGGGGGACAGAATTCCTGATCAGAGGCAAAATGATTTGGTTCATTCTATGAATTTGAAATCATGATACTATACTTCATCACTTTCTTTTGACTTTCGTTTCTCTAATAGTAAATTAATAGCATAATCGTTGAGTGTGTAGCATATGGATATCCAACTGTTTGGGCATGAAGCACATGCATGCATAGATAGACGGCATTGCAATTTAAGCAGAACAATGTGACTGAAATATAAAGTTCAGGGGGTTTTTTTAGCTCTAGGGCGTACTGTCAGCATCAACTTCCACATGCCAAAATCATAAATTCCCTCTGATGCAACCAGCAACACGTTGCAGACAGATAGTAGGAAAACACCAATCATACAACCCGGTTCCTTGCATTACAGAAGAAGAGAAAAATTGCTCTGATCAGATATCATGAAGCCAAGAACCTTCTGTCAACATAAGGGGTGTGTAAAGAAACTCGCTTCTATTCAAATGATCAACCGCTGAATTCCAACAATTCATGAGCGAGAATCCTGCTGATAGCACTCTCCATTTAGTACAGAAATTGTAAGATAAACCCATCAGGTCTCATCATATCAACTAAAACAGAAGGGCTGAACATTGGCTGTGCCACACACTGATATTAGCTCTTACAACATAGAAGCCCAATAAATACCAAAAACAATGCATTACATGACAATTTAGACAAAAAGATAATGAAAAGTGTCTTCCGCGGACAGAAAATTTTCTCAGTAAAATTGTAAATGTCTGGTTATTACGAAGAAGGAAACATGTAGCACCACATGTAGGCTAATAGTCTACAACATATGTGAGATTTTGAGCAGTAATTCTATTTTCTAGACTTAGCATGCTGTGTAATGATAAGGAGCTTTCCACTATAGAAGAAAAAAAGACGATTAAATCTCGCTCAGGACTTAAGAACATGCAAAGTATAAATTGCATAGAAGGTATCTTACCTATAATAAAACCTGCTCAATATTTTACAAACCTTCTCTTGCCTAAGTTTTTGAGACAATAGTTTACTTTACTACAATCACGATACTGGTGATCTGGCTATTTACTGAGAATTAACTATCAAATTTTGTCAATCATTTACCAACAACTATGCAGCGAATTAGTATAGTTGGTAGATTAGAAGGACTGTCGTGCAAAGATTGGAGCGCCCAATCAAAATATGTTTGTTGAAGATATTTGATGCTCGTTTATCTTATAGGTTTCCTGGAGAATCCTCCATATTAAGAAAATGCTCCAAGATAAAAATGCATAATAAATTCACTAGGAAAAGTAGATGACCACCTCATCACTAATAACAAATGCAAGAAATTAAAATTACATTAACTGATCAATTATAGTATCGAGTTTCTACAATACAACAAAAACATAACAAGTGAGCAATTCTAGTACAAACCTGAGCATCAAGGAGGATTAGCCTTTCAGAAGAAACCCTCAGCTCAACCCCAGCAGTACAATGTTTTGCCATGGCTATGGTTTCTTCAGACTGTGTTGCAAAAGGCGGAAGCATTCCTAGGAGCAAACTAATTTTAGTCAGCTTCCTGATCAGAAACCTATGTTATGTAGGATACTTCCATGAGACAGACCAAATACAATACATGTGTCCACTCGTGTCTGAAATTTACAAAACGCTAAGCTATTATTTACCAATCATTCTAGTAAAGTAATTCTTTCTTTTAAGGACAATGACTAAACATGCATTACTTTATATGTCAAAGTAGAGTATGTTTAGAAAAATATGCACATGCAATTGTGTATTTACATGACTTTTGGACAATTAATGTATTTGACTATGATGCAGTGCTTTCGTCTACAGCAGTTATCTTGTCTAAAGCATGTAAAGAAACGTTAGAACACTAATAAATCAAATGTCTCATGCTGACAAATTGAATGCACCAAATTAATATCCATATGAGTCAACATGAGCATAATTGTTTTATCATCTCATGGTATAAGAAGCTATTGCTTTGAGAAGCTACTGCTTTAAAGTACATATATATATAGTGCATATTCAATGTTCCTTAAACAAAATATTCTAGGTCAAAATCACCATGGTGGAATCTCAACTAGGCATCTAATTATCGGAGAAAATATAGCAAACTAATTTATTAAAAAAATCTTTTTAAAAAATGAGCAAGTAATCAACACAAAAGTGAACATTATGAAAAAAAGAATGGATTTTGAAAATCAAATAGATCAATATACCAGGAGAGCTTCCATCAAATCCATAAAGCTCATTCAAAATAGTCGACTTGCCCACTCCGGTTGGCCCAATAATCCCAACAACATTGAAATCAGTGTTGTCTGTCAAAAACTGCAACCAAAGAATCCAAAAAAATCATAAAACCCCCAAAATTTCCCCCTTCAGTCAATTTCTAGGGTTTAAAAAGCCAATTTCTAGGTTTTAACAAGACAGAACAGCTCACCGGTAGGATTCTCTCAGTGTGGAACTCCCAAGTATCCGAGAAGAGATTTAGGGATCCTGGTTGAGGAACGTTGTGAGAGGACCGAAGTAAGAAGCCGCCGGGGACGGAGGAGGGCGGAGGAGCTCCGACGGAGGAAGAGTCCTGGGCGACCGCGGGGACCGACGAGGGTTTTGCAAGGAGGATCTTCGGAGGCGGGGGAAGACCTGAAGATGACGATGGGTTCGCCGACGAGGAAGAGGAGGAGGAGGACGATGATGGCGGAGCTCCCGCCATTCCTCCTGCTGCTGCTTCTTTCGCGGTACTCGGTCGAAGGAGATGACAACGAAGAGGGTGCGGGGTGGAGGGGATTAGTGATTTGAGAGGGTGATGCAATTTTTGGGATGGATTTTTTGGCGGTGGGATGAAATTTTCGGGGATGAATTTTTGGCGGTGGGATGAATTTTTTGGGGAGAACGGAGAGAAAAACGCCCGCGCCCAAAAAAATTTCTCACTTTTGGGTTTTAGCGACGGAAATTTCCGTCGCTAAAATCTCTTTTAGCGACGGAAATTTTCCGATAGAAAATTTCTGTCGGGAAATTAATGGCGACCGAAATTTTCCGTCGTTAATATTGAAATTTCCGTCGGCATAACTCTTTTGCCGACGGAAAATTAGCAACGGTAAATTTCGTCGCTATAACATGACTTATAGCGACGGAATTTTCCGTCGCTAAAGTTCCGTCGGCAATGGTTCATTTTCTAGCAGTGGGTGACGTCAGGCGAGCACGACGGTGATACGGAGGATACAGGTGCTGATATGCAGGATCAGGAACCGACAGCTCAGGTTCAGGATTCGATTGCGGTTCGGAGACAGAGGAGAAACATACAGATGCCGGCACGGTATGCCGACACAGTTGCGTATGCACTTCCGGTGGAGAGTATCGATGAGATGATGCCTACTACATTCAGAGAGGCCGAGCAGAGTTCAGAGGCTGATTCGTGGTAGGTGGCTATGCAAGAGGAGATGGAATCTCTTCATAAGAACGATACATGGGAGCTTGTTGAGCTTCCAAAGGGACGGAAGGCGATTGGTTGCAAGTGGGTATACACGAAGAAGGAGGGCATTGAGGGCACTCCATTGAGGTTCAAGGCTAGGTTGGTTGCGAAGGGCTATGCACAGGAGGAAGGTATTGACTATAATGAGGTTTTCTCTCCGGTGGTGAAGCACTCTTCGATTCGGATTCTGCTAGCTTTGGTGGCACAGTATGGTTTGGAGTTAGATCAGTTGGATGTGAAGACGACATTTCTTCATGGTGATCTTGATGAAAAAATCTATATGACTCAGCCATTGGGATTCCGAGCTGCAGGAAAAGATAAGTTGGTTTGCAGATTGAAGAAATCACTATACGGTTTGAAACAGTCTCCTCGACAGTGGTATAGGCGATTCGATGGTTTTATGCTTGGTCATTCGTACACTTGGAGCCAGTTTGATCCTTGCGTATATTTTTGCAAGTTGAAAGGAGGTGCGTACATTTATTTGTTGCTCTATGTCGACAACATGTTGGTTGCCTCTATTTCCAGGTCGGCTATAGATGAATTGAAAGTTCAGCTATCAAATGAGTTTGAGATGAAAGACTTGGGTGAGGCGAAGCGCATTCTAAGGATGGAGATAGGCAGAGACAAGAAGAAGGGCAAAATTTGTTTGACACAAGTGGCTTATTTGAAGAAGGTTCTACAGCGATTTCATGTTAGTATGGATACGAAGCCAGTTGGTGTACCATTGGGAGCCCATTTGAAGCTTTCAGCTGGCCTCTCACCGAAGTCAGTTGAAGACCGTGAGTTGATGTCGAAGACTCCATATGCGAGCGCGGTTGGGAGCTTGATGTACGCGATGGTATGTACGAGGCCAGATTTGTCACAGGCGGTGAGCATGGTATCGAGATACATGCATGATCCAGGAATGAGTCATTGGGACGCCGTGAGATGGATTTTGAGGTACATTCGAGGTACGCTCAATGTTGGTTTGGTTTATGAGCGGGACACTACAGGTGGGCAGTCATGCATTGGCTATGTTGATTCGGATTATGCCAGGGATTTAGATAAGCGCCGGTCCACTACGGGATATGTGTTTACTATGACCCGTGCGCCGGTGTGTTGGAGATGCACCTTACAGTCGATGGCGGCTTTGTCTACGATGGAGGCAGAGTATATGGAAGTTACGGAGGCTGTGAAGGAGGCTATTTGGCTTCGAGGACTTTTAGAGGAACTTGGTATATCGCAGAGGTTCGTCACTATTCATTGTGATAGCATGAGTGCTATCTATTTAGCGAAGAATCAGGTTTTTCATGCGAGAACGAAGCATATTGACGTTCGTTATCACTTCGTTCGGGATGTTCTTGAAGATGACGATGTGAAAATTGTAAAAGTCCACACGAAGGATAATCCGGCGGATATGCTCACTAAGGTGGTTCCGAGTAATAAGTTTGATCATGATAATCCGGCGGATATGCTCACTAAGGTGGTTCCGAGTAATAAGTTTGATCATTGTCGAAACTTGTTGTACATTCGTGATTGTTGAGGCCGTTGGCGGCCATTTGGGTGAACTACGTTCGGCTTAATTCCTTGGGCAAGAGGATACGTAGGCAGTTTTTTAGATGCAGCCGGTTTGGATTAGTTGATGGGGGTGAGATTGTTTGGACTCTCGTTCGGGTTCTCGACTTGTTGTGGATTGAGTTCGTACTGGGCACAACAAGTGGGACATTTGGATGCTTTGGTGTCGGCTCAGTTTTGGAAGAACTTTGCCGAGGTGGAGAATTGTGAACGCGGCTTTGAGGTGGGCCACACCACCACTTGATTGACGCGGAAACGAGATTTGTTTTCGCTATTTGACCGGACGAAGCTATAAATAGCTTCCTAGGGTTTCGTGTGATGTGGGCGCAAGGGTTTGTTTCTGCTGTGAATTTTTTTTCGGCTGGTACCTGCAAGCAAGAGCAAGGATTGATTTTGCGGCTGGGGATTTCTCTTCGTGTGGCTGTGCAAAAGAAAAAGGCAGAGGCTTTTAGGGTTTTGTGCATCCTTTTGTGAGAGTTTATTTGTATGAGGGATTTGAGAGTTTGTTTGAAGGTTTAGATTGAGTGATTATAAACTCTAGTTTTATTCCCTCCCTCTATTAGTAGATCTCCCCTCTCCTTGTCCCGTGGACGTAGGCAATTTGCCGAACCACGTAAAAATTGGTTGTACTGCTTTTGTGTGATTTGTAATAGCCTTTAGGATCCCTCGACAGGTCAGTCCTAGAACTGATGAGAGGAAGAGCCGATATTTCACTTGGTTGAGATATCCGCTTCAGATTCTTATCTCCTTGGTGAGACGGGAATTCTTATTGCGATCTGACTCTCTTGTTGTGCTGCCGAAGTGCTGCCGAAATTTCCGCTGCGCGCAACAAATCCAACCTAAGATCGCTGGCCGCAGAGCATGCCTACCCAATCATCCTGCAAACTTCAATGGGTGCATATTTGCTAATTTATCCCTATAAATTTTTTATGTGTTCAAAGAAAAGATATAAAAATCCAACGTGTGAGAATGGAGGGGTAAAATAGCAAACACACAGATTTGGGGATAAATCTGCAAATATGATAATTCTGGGGTATATAGGTTAAAAAGAAGGACAAAATTTGAAAATAGACCCATTTTGACAAATAATTACAAATTTTGACCTATTTGAAACTTATTTGTCAAAATAGATCCAGTTTTAGCCATCTACCTGAAACTGGGTCGGTTTTGACAAAAAAACTCTAAAACTTCACGGGACTTGAAGTCTCGTGAAGTTACGCAGCTTAATTAACTGCCTGCTAAACTTAACATGAAGTTTCAGAGAATTTTTTATGAAAATTAACCTAGTTTCAGCCCATGACTAACACTGGATCGATTTTCACAAATAACGTCAGAATAAATCGAAATTTGTAATTAATTTTGTAAATAGGTTTATTTTCAAATTTTGTCCTAAAAAGAAACCTTTCTCAAATGGACCCAAAACCCTCTCTAAATTCCCTCTCTTCAATGGCTACACACTTCGAATCTGAAACAGCTCCATCTCCTTTTTCAAAAACCCAGCAAGAATTAAACTTTGGAAGAAGAGGAAGAAGAAATTGTGGGCTTTTCATGGCTTCTGCTGTTCCTGCAGATCAGCAGATCGACGGAGCATCGAACCAAGTGGCCGGCGACTCCTCCATCCGTCTTACCATTTGAGGTGTAAAGTTTGATTCTTTTTGGAGTTTTCTTTTACTTGTTCTGGTAAATTTTGAGCAGCTATGCAATTTTAGTTTGTTATTGGTCGTTTTTTGTGAACAATTTGGTTAGAAATATTTGTAGTTTCTTTGAGAAATTGGAATATCTGACGTGCCCATTTAAAGAAAATAATTTGTTTTAGTTTATCAGTACTGGTTTTTGTGAACGTATGAGTTTGTGTGCAGAGTATGAGGCGCATATTAGTTTTGGGCGTTGGGGAATGAATGTTATGAGAGTTTGTCACTTAGAAACTAAGAAATTCGCTTCTTTTAATAAAAAGTTGAGAACTTTAGTTGCATTTATGGTGTTTGATGGTAATCCACGTCGACATCACTGTGTAATGTGAGCAACATTACGGTCATGAAGTTTGGGATTCCTTCCATTGATCGAGTTCCCTGATATGATGATTTAAGGAAATTTTACTTTAACTTCTTAGTACTTTGTTTTCCTGAAAGTTTGGACTTTTGGTTAGCATGTGTTTGCTAGTCTTGGGCATTGGGGGAATGAATATTAATTGAGTTTATGGGTAAAAAAAAGATAGGATAAATTTTGAAAACCATCCTATTTACAAAAAAAAATCGCAAATTCTGACCTATTCTAAAAAATTTTGTCAAAACCGACTTAGTTTCAGCCGTCTGGCTGAAACTGGGTCGGTTTTGACAAAATATGTTCTGAAACTTCACGGGACTTCAAGTCCCGTGAAGTTTTGTAATGTAAAAAACTTTACGGGACTTGAAGTCCTGTGAAATTTTGGAAGATTTTTCTTCAAAACCGACTCAGTTTCAGCCCGATGGCTGAAACCGGGTCGGTTTTCACAAATATTATGTGAATGAGTCGATTTTTGCAATTATTTTCTTAAATAGGATGGTTTTCAAAATTTGTCCAAAAAGATAGGTAGGATTCTGCTAGATAGAAATTTATGAGGTACTCATTTGCGGAAACTGGTTTCTTTTTAGCTTCTTAGTGCTTGTTTTGGTAAAAAGTGGGGACTTTATCTTAATAAAAAGAATAAA